CTCTTTCTCTCCTCTCCTATGACTGGCTTTCCATTTCCTCTTCTCTGCACCTGTTTCAATTTAATTCATTGTTCCTGAGCATGGATGACCAGAATTGTACTTAGTATTCTGAATGAGGTCTCACTATGCTTTACATGGTGGGCACTCTGAATCTGTAAGCATAGGTGCCAGGAAGCAGTCTATAACCCTGGGCAGAGGGTCATGCTAATGTGACTATACTGCTTCCATTGCTCAAACTCACTTGGATATTTCTACATGGCACATTTCAGCTTATACATATCCAAAGCTATTAGATGCTGCTGCACTGAGGAACAATGACTAAAGTGAAGCATCAGTTAAGCTAGTGAAGGGCTACATCTCCTTTTTGCAGATGAACTGATGTTGTGGTCCATCTTTAAGATCTATGATTCCCAAACCAGGCTCGGACATCTGATTGTAAGGGTATTTTTCCATAGCTGCTTAATCCAATTTGAAAATTTGAACAAATAACTGCAGGTCCAGATTCTCAGCTGTATATTAGTCAAATACATGCACTGATCCATTCTGCCAGCTGAGGACCTGAACCATCCAATCATTTTAATCCAGAAAGGCCTTCAAACAAAAAGATGAGCTTTGATTCCTTGGAAAGATTTATTTGGAGCCACCTCTGGAAGGGTCACATCATTAGTATTATTAGTTTATCACAAAAAATCAACTGAACTCTTCAAGTGAAGGTATGTTTCTGTGCTCTGAATTTACCAAAGACCTTGCAACACATTTCCACCATTCTGGAGTATTAGAAGTAGTGTGCTTTTGAGAAACTGAAACACACCAAAAAACTGACAAATTTAACTGCTTCTTCAAGGTTGATTTCTTTAAGTGAATATTCCATCAACTACCTATGCAGCCACTATAAAAAAAGACAGGAAATTACCCCAGTTTCAAGTATACAACTCCTGGGGTACAACTGAAGGCAAAGCCACCTAATAACAGTTGTGACAGATAAGGAACATTAATCTGTCAGATATCTTTTAACTACTATAAATAGATAATTACTTGCAAAAAATGTAGACAGATTTTATTGAGATACATGAATGTGTTAGAACATAGGAATTTTTAGATGTATGTAATAAAAAACACAAAAGAAAATATGAACACAAAAAATACCTAGTAGTGTACGCAATATACTTCTAAAATAATGCTAGGAAAACAAATACCTCAGCATATTTTGAGAAATTATGCAACTAAGAAAAATCAACAGGAGGTCCAAGTAAACAGATGATATAATTGCCCCAAATGTTTTGGTATGAGAAGCCGCTGCACCTTCAAGAAGTGGCATTGTCCATTCTAAACAGGAAAATGACTGTTTACTGGTTATAAATTACTTATGCATATATAGTTTTGGAGGCTTTCCTGACATTCTGTGACAGATTAGCAGGGATCTGCTGTCATTTTGAATTACAGAATTAATTATTACCCTATTTTATTATCATGATTTTTGCCTTGTTCTTGTGACTTGTATTTGAGAATGACACTGATCAAGATAGCTTTGTTTTTGGAATTTGCATGCGTCTCTCTATCAAAGGTGATGATCTCAGCAAGAATTTAACCAAGCTGGTGCTAACTTTCCTACAAAAGAACTCTAGAGTAACATATGGGGGAAATAAAACGTTATTTCCCACACGTCAGTGACTGATTGCTTTTAACACTTATTTTATGGCTGACTTGTCTCCTGGGATTAGCTTTACTTGCTTGTTTGTAACTAGACCAGCTGTCTAGCATTTATACTATAGTTACTGAACTGTATTCTAAACAGAGATTCAAACACGCTTCCTCTACTTGGGCAGAGATTTGTACTTGCTACGGTGGCACTACATGGGGCAATGTAAGGTGATTTAGTTTAGAGCAGGCTTTAGTCCATTTTAGCATAGAAACAGGCATAAAATTGCTTTCCACAGAAGAATTTTAGTTGCTGAAGAAGAAAGGTTTATAGAGAACAAATAAAATAAATTCTTATAAACAGAAGTGTCATCCTTTTGGGTTATGGTTGAACCATTGAGTACTATTAAATGCGTTTATACTGAAGTTTCCAGAATTCCAACTACAGTATTTTTTTTTTTTTTATTAAAAGACAGCTATAAAATTAAAAAAGAACCAAAAACACAACATTATTTTGCTGACCTTCAAAAGCACAAAAGGTAATAGCCATGTGGGATGTTAGAAAAAAGTATGCTCAAAGACTTGGCTTCAATGTTTTGAAGCCAAGGCATCAAGACTCAATTACATATTCCATGTTTAAGTAAAGCAAAAAAGACAGGAAGGGTGGAATTCAATTGAAATTCACGATTCAAGTTAAAAATAGCCACTTACATACTAGCATTTGTGCTTCTTATTTAATTTCTTACCTTATCGAAGGGAGGGTAATAAATAGGCAGTTTTGAGTATTCTTGAAATTTAATGTGCAAAGCTGTTGCATTTTCAGCGTAAGGATTAGTTTGTACTGTTCCCATTGGATTCAACATTTCTTCAAGTTCATCTAAAAAAATTAGAACAATTAGTTATAGTACAAGACATCTTTGGAAATGCAAGCAAGACTTGAAAAGAGTGATGTCTTGAGTAACTTCTTCCTGTGTCAGTTGTACAGTTTGTGTGGAACATCTATTTTGCGCTGCATGCCTAGTACAGAGCTGTCTCTTAACACTAGAATTGTTTTAGCTTAGGAAGATCATCCCAGGAAGAGGATCATCTGGTACTAATAGCAGTGTGGCTTTTATAGTACCTACTCTACTGAAGAGAGGTACAACAGGAAAAAACAAGGGTAGCCAAGATGTCCTTATGACATGTCAGTCCTTAGTTGCAATGTCAGCCCAAAAAAGGATCTGCATCCCGTGAGAGGCCATGCTCCCCACTTAGGCAACAGGCGGGGGTACAGGCAGTGCCCCCCCTACGAGCTCCGGCTGGGGAATGGAAGTGCCGGATGAAGTGTTGCGGCCACTTCCCGGTTGACGCGATTGGCTGCAGGGGCCCCCCGCCCCTGGTAATTGACTGGTCGCCGGGGGAGTGGGGGGGGAGTGTGTTCCCCTTGACTAAAGTGGTACCAGTCGCTCATGCTCAGAGCTGTGCTAATTAGTGCACCCCCCTCTCCCCCACCTCCTGGAGCACGTCTACAAATGCCCTTAGAGGACTACTTCAAGAAAAAGGCTTCCCAAACCTTCAGGAACAGTTGTGTATAGTTATAACAGTATCTACTTTGAATATTTCACAGATTCAGGATTAGAAAATTCATCTTTTAACTTAAAAAGTAATTAAACATTGAAAACAGTAAAGGGGACCAAATGAATGAATGAATCCTGAATTAAGCTAAGTCAGTTTACACTAACTTGAGGATCTGGTCTAAGATTAATTAGTAAGATTATTTTTGTAAGTGAAAGTATTTAATATTATTTAATACTCCCTTCCTCTAAATTAATGCTCTTCTTTAATCTCCAATGTTTTTTCAGGTATACATCAACTTTCAGACTCACCAGGAAATGATGACCAGCTGTGCAATATGAGGTCTCCAGTCTTCAACTGTCCTTTATAATCAAATATCATAGTATTTACCCATGCTACAGGATAGTGCTGTTAAAGGAAAGATGTACTTGCTTATTTAGACAGAAACTGAACAAATTATTTAAAAGTTGTAAAATGGTAAATACTTCAAGATGAGAAAAATTGCTTTCTACATCTAATAAATCATACTTTTTTTAATAAGACAATGCCTCAGTAGATTACATTCTAAAGTTTATGACTTTGTGTTGGAAGGGTACAAAAGTTTTTAAGAAACCCCATTTCAATGGAATATTCTTTTCCTATGTTGGGAACTCCAATGTTGCAGCACTGCTCTGCATACAGAACCATATAGTAAAAAGTAAAAGGCAAAAAAACCTTATCAAATTCCCCGAAGTAAATGAGAGAATTATAAAAATATCAATTTTTAAAAAGAATTTATAATAAAGAAAGAAAAAAAAAGATGAAGGAACAGTGAACATCAGGCATTAACAAAGAAAGAAAAAAAATCTTGTGCTATGACTGGGCAATATATTAAAAAATCAAGTAAAGAAATGTTTGTAAATACATTGCTCAGTATAATTGAGAGGTACACTACAAGCAAATAAATCAAATCATTACCACTTTTCCAGCTTTCCTAATGGTCTGATATTTGGCAGTATTCATTGTCTTGGTTGACTTCTTCGTTTTCATTTTGTCCATCACGGCATAAACTGCAAAGCACAGCCTCGCCATTCTTGGCAAGTCACAAACATTGACTTCAAATTCTAGGGTTTCATTCCAAACGTGGTCACTTCTCCCCGATACTTCTGTACTTACAATAGGCTTGCAAAGGAGCTCAGTCCCATGGAAAAGACCAGCCCTGACACTAACCTGCAACAGAAAAACATCCAAAAAAAGACTTTCTAAAATGCAACAGAACTTTTATTCAAGAACACAAAAAGCATACACTATCATGGAAACTAAAAAGATTAATTCTGGTAGGGAGTGGGGGTGGGGGGCAGAAGAGGCAAACAAGATCATTTTGGGGGTGTCTTGGTGTTCTTTCATAGCTTGTGACAGGAGGCTTAAGTCAAGACTTTCCAGTTGGTGGCCCACAGATTACACATGGCCAGTGAGAGGCTGAGTTTTGACCCATGGGGCTCCTCCAGCAGCAGCTTGTCAGCACAGCTGCTAGAGCCATTGTGGCAGGGCTCTGGAACTCAAAGGATGAACACTGCTGCTACACGCCCCTACACCCACTCATTGCTGGTGACTTAAATCAGTGGCAGGGGAAAAGGGTGTGAAAGAGATGGCAGGGGTTTAGGTTGTAGCCGTGTTGGTCTAAGGACATAGGCAGACAAGGTTCCTTGGGTGAATATGATATCTTTTATTAGACCAACCCAAATAGTTGGAGAATAGTTATTAAGCAAGCTTTCAGGTTCAAAACCTCTTCGTCAGGCTAAGGAAGCTGCAGCAGTTGGTGTGTGCTCTTCCTGGATGGAATGAAAAGTAAAGAAGCCAGGGGCTGGGCTGGGGAGTCAGTTGCCAGACAGATTATAATGTATCAAAAATCCAATGTCTGTGTTTAGTCCATGATCTCTAGTATCCAGGAGGTTGATGAAATAGAGCTCATAGGCTTGTCTCTGGGAAGTGTTGTGTAAATTTCCCTTGAGGATCAGGACTGAGAGATTGGAGAGAGAGTGGCCCTCCTGTGAGAAATGTGCCCCCACCGGTAATTGGGTATTTCTGTCTTTGATGGATTCCCGGTGTGCGTTCATTCTGGTGTGCAGTTGTTTGGTCTCTCCTACATATTTTCCATCAGGGCATTTGGTGCATTGGATGAGGTATATTACATTTCGGGAGGTGCACCTGTAAGATCCTGGGATGCTGATGGCTCTGTTGTGGGGTGTAATAATAGTGGGG